GTGAATACAACAATATAATCACATGCACATATCGAACATTTACAATATCATCAACATATATGAACAATGAACAACTTCACGATTCTCACATATCACAGTTATATCAATTTAGAGCAACATACAGTCTTCCAATATCAATCATCATTAGATATGAACGTAATCATCACAAGTAAATACACAACACAATCCAATAGTCCTCTCACGGAACCCAATTCAATGGTCCTCTCATGGAACCCACACCCAAACTGTTATCATACCAGAATGTGGTATCCGATCCAATGTTTATGTCGGAATGTGGCAACCGATCTCATATGTATGTCGGAACATGGCAACCGATCCCAGTTAGTTATGTCGAACATGGCAACCGATCCATTCAACACACCACAATCACAATCACAAGTATATTCTCAATAATCATACAATCAAGAAGTGATTTATGGCATACAATTATTCGTTCATACTCATACAATTAGTGTGATCAACAATGCAACATTTGCATACATACATGCATCATAATGAAGCAAGAACAAACATATATCACACAATCATAGAATCACAACCATCACCTACCTCAAATCTAAGCTTGAATCCCTAAGAAACTTGATTCTTCCCTTTCCGGATTCATTCTGCTTGTTCTTGGTCTACAAATAATCAAATATAATACGGAAATCAATAAATAATCACTAATTACCCAAATTACTAACAATTCTATGAACCCTAGATCAAACCCATGATCCCAACTATCCAAATTGGGGTTGTTTCCACCATAGAATCTATAACAAAACACTCTCCCATCAATATTCACCCATTCCATTACGTTCTATGGATCGAAAAACGGATTCAGGGAGTGAAAAGCTTACATTTAGCCTCAAGAATGGTGAAAAATGAGTAGGAGTCGCCTGGGGTTCGTTCTTTATCTCTAAAAGTCGAAAAATGCATAATAAGGTCGTTTAGGGATTTATTAACGACCTTAAGTCGCGTCGAGCCCGCCACAACGGCCCACATCCCATGGTAGTGGCCCCGCCAGAGCGGCGAATTCCAGCGCCAAAGCGGCTGGAATGAAACAGAGAGCTATTTGAGAATTCCAAAATCCTCATTTCACAACACACCATCATCCCACGACACTCAGAAAAAACTCGTTCACGCTAAGATCAGTTTTGGGAGTTCTACTCACCCAAATTCAATTCCGTAAAGTCACACGAAATCCTTAACGTATTAACTATCCACTCATGTAATCAAATTCATTAATAGATCTCTCATTTGTTACCAGATTTCCCTACATCTTAAAGACTCCGATTTCGTCCAAATCTGGACTAGGTTGGGAAAATTCAATTACTACGAAAAAGTTTTCCTGCCCCATTGACTTTTCCATAACGATGGAAATCAGGTCATTACACCTTCTATCTGTATGCATTTTCTTTAATTATAATCCATTTGTTTATAACTCAAATGTGCAAACTATATATGTAATACTTTTGACTGCTGATGAAAATATAATGTAACATCCTCCACTTTCTGTCTTCTTTCTTCATTCCATTTGATTTGTGTATCAAAAGCTTGAAGGGATCTTTTTTAATTTCATAAACCTGTGGGCCTAAAAAGAAGCAGAATAGAGCAATCTTTTTTGTCCCAAAGGAAACTGGTCCACTTTTAGTTTTCTTTCTTGTTACTGTTATTTTAGCTAAATGATATTATGGCCAAAATGTACAAGTGCTTGATTTAATAATAATAAAAAGAAAGGCAGTTCAGTGCACAAAGCATTCCACGTTCACATAGGGTTCAGAGAAGGGCGCACCCAAGAAATGTGACGTAGACCGTCTACATTATTTCTTTAATCAATTTGAAGAAAGGTATCAAGAATCTTGTTGTAAAAAAAGGTAAGAATATGAAAACACCAAGCCAATGGGGTTGTGGGACAAGATATATAAATATATATGGTCTTAATATACTTAAAGAGGACTATATATCTAGTTAGAATAAAGTGGCAAAATGCTTTCCTCTGCAACTTGCAAGAGGTTCTGCTTTAAGAAAGGAGTGGGCCAGTATAGTATTTACTGGAAAAGTTTCTATGAATGGTAATGTTGCTTTGAAATATATTCTTTCCCTCACATTCGAGGGTGTGACATAGTAATCAATAAATTATGTAAAACAACAATCAAGATAGATATCAGAGTCTCAAATTTCAATGGAGATTAAAGACGCCACATAAGTAATTTCTAGCAGAGTTATTTGATATCCGTGTTATAAAAACCAGAAGATAATAGATATCTAATAAAATAATGGAATAATACATAAATATGTATTTAACTTGGTTTCAATTGACATCTATGCCTTATAACTTTGGATATGTACAAGTAGACACTTAACTTGTATAAAATTGAACAAGTAGACACACGCATTCTACGTGACATAATACACATAGTATGCCACATAGGACGCAAAATTGTCATGAAGGACGCCACATAGGACAAATGTGTCTATTTGTTCAATTTTATACAAATTTAAGTGTCTACTTGTGCACACTCAAAATTGAAGGACATTGTTACCAAATGAAGCCAAATTAAGGAGCATATTTATGTATTATAAGGTACGCGCAAGTTACTTGACACAATTACTATAAAATTTAAAATAAAATGGTCCTTGGCTTTGTGGGGTGGGGGACCTATATATAGTTTGCACTAAGGTTTTATTGATACTTCCAACAGCAAATTATGACTGTAATGCCACCAAAATGGAGAACACCAATAGAAAAAAGTGGCATAATAATGAGGTAGAAGAGAACGTGAAATTAACAGTAACAGCACAACAGAACAAAGAAATCAACTTTTCATTTGACCCCTTATGATTTGTAAGTCGTTGAAAAATCATTTCATAAAAAGAACAAATTTGAATAATCATTTAATGATTTCAATCACAAGAAGGTGGTGCTGGTGGCTATTTTGGTTGGTGGTAGACAAAATAGTACTACAAAATAGTGTTTTCCTATCCTTAACTGTTGCTAAAGCTCCTCTTTTGTGCTCTCTAATCATTAGATCTTAAATTATTAAAAACAATTCCACTAATCACCCACTCTCGCAGCAATTTCAAGTTAATATACAATAATAATTGTGTTTATAGTCACGTATTTATACATATTTCATGAATTTCTTAATAATAATAAAAATACGACTATGCAAAAGTTTGTGGTTCGCGTGAACCCAATGTTATGTTCTACATCTCCACTGACTAACCATTAAGTTATCAATGATGTGTCCAGGGCCAGATTCAGCGCAACTCGATTACTTTTATGAGATATCCTCTACCTCGCCCGCTAGCATACCATACCAAGCAACTCTGTTACTAAAACTTAGGCTGATGAAAATAAATCGCGAAATTAACACACTTTTCCATGAACAGATTCAAAGAACACCAAAGTTAGAGGGGTAAAGTATGAATAGAAGTGATTAGTTTTTCACTAATTACAAGTAATTTTATTGAACTATTTGCTCAGGAACTTTCAAATATTAACTCTGTTTTTTTAGCTTAAAAAATAAAAAAAGGATAAGAACATAGAGAGAGCATCAACTATCTTGAGAAGGCAACATTTCCTGTTTAGAGTTGATGAACCTTCGTTTCAATTTATTTGTCATACTTTTCTGTTTCAAAATAAATTTTTCTTTCTTCTTCTTTTTTTGACTACTCGTCCATTCTAATTTTTCATTGACATGTTTAAGACAATGTTTCTTTAATTTAACATTACAAGATTCAATAGTCTTTTTTACATTTTTAAACTTCATCTCAAGTCAAAATTATACAAATAAATTGAAACGAAAGGAGTAATAGTTACCCTTCCCCTGTGGGAGATAAAAGCTTATTCTGTCAAGTTGATTCATATGAAAAGTAAACAGACCCCAGCATGCTGCTTGATGAAGTGGATATTGACTCAACAATTATTTAGGATGAGGTGAATTTGGTACCACGGAATACGAAAGTTATTTTTCATGAAGAAGTTATTTTCTACTGTTAGGTTACCAATTACTCCCTCCGTTTCAAAAAAAATGATCTAGTTTGACTTGACACGGAGTTTTAAGAAAATAAACAAGACTTTTGAATCTTGTGATCCTAAATTAAAGTTATGTCAAATGTACAAAATTGTCCTTTAATCTTGTGGTCTTAAACATGCCACGTGGAAAGTTGAAATAAAATGTTACCAAAACAAGAAAGAGGTCATTCTTTTTTAAACTGACTAAAAACGAAAGAAGGTTATTCTTTTTTTGAAACGGAGGGAGTATATATGTTTCAAGAAAAACATTTTTAGTCCTTTTCTGTTCGATTATCTTGTGTCTGATACAAGGTGAAATCGTGGCACCAGCCCCAAATTATGAATTTGCCTTTACAGTTAAATTACGTTTTGCCAATCTTGGATAGGTCTATCGGAGATAGTCTCTCTACCTTTCCAAGGTAAGGGTAAGATTCAAGACTGTGTACACACCACTCTCTCCGTAGCCTATGGTAAGAGTAGACTGTGTACACACCACTCTATCTGTAGCCTATTGGTGAGAGTACACTAGATATGTTGTTGTAACTTGTAAGGTTGTTAGCCAGGGCTTCCCCGTAATGCCAATTGCATTTTTTCTTCCTTTCCCTTGCAGTAACAATGAGCAAAAGGACAAGATGAAATGAATGATGAAAATAGTGCTTCTTCTACAGAGATGAAAACATGGAAATACTACAAACTAAAACAACCACAATATTCTCAAGGAACTTTAATTACTTGACTTATTGCTAACCATCTTGAATTACCAGTAATATTAACACGAAACAGTGCTCAGCCTTCTCACTAAACCTTCTACATCTCGTACATTTGCTTGCTGAACTCTATGAATTATCGCAGCAGCAACATAATTATCTTAATCTTCCAACATACTTAAATCAAACCTCTAAAACACTCGAAAAGACAGCAGATAGTTGATCAGGCAGAGCAGCGCGTGTTTTTTGTTTTTTCTTAAGAAATATTGATATCACATAGTATTGTACTGACCAAACTGAAGTCCCTGCAGAATAACATTATGCATTCCATGTTCATGCAACTTTAGTCCATATGTTTTGAATCCTATATCTGCTTTTTGATTTGACAAATTGTACGGTTTTTGTGGAGAAGGAACAGAGTTTTCAGGGGAATTGGAAGATGTATGATTCTCAGGCGATATAGATTTCATTTCTGTAAGATTGACAATGGTAATGTCATGTATACTTGATCTTCTCTTATCTTTACCCCCAGAAAGCTGTCTGATAAAATACTTCTGAGCATGACTCGCTACTTGTGTTGGAGTTCTTGTAGTCACAAAATTGCGAGATATATTTCTCCAGTCACCTTTTCCGTACTTTTTCAGCCCCAACAGAAATTGCCTGACCAAAATGTAGAAAATAAATTCAAAATTGCCGTAGCATTAATAAAATTTGTAACATGAAAGTCACACAACTCAATTTTTTATAACAGTAAAGTCACTAAACTAACCTGTGTTCTTCCTCGGTCCATGGGATTCCTTTTTTTCTTTCGTATTCAGAAAATCGATTTGATGTGTTTCTCTTGCCATGAGATGGACCATAGAATGGTTTGTTGAAGTCATGGAGGACGCCTTCTTCTTGATCATGATTAATCCAATCCAATGTGAATGAATTAGTACTAGGAATTGTAGTCAAGTAGCCAGGTACTGGTACTAATCCAGCTTCAATATCAGTAACATCATCAACCAATTCTCTATACTGTTTGATCACATCATTCACCGTCTTTCCGGGGATCATTGCTGCTACATTATACCATCTATCAGGAGTTTCCTTATCAAACAACGCGAGCGCGTCCTCAAACATCTTGTTTTCTTCAGTAGTCCATTTTGTTTCCTTGTTTTCCTCAAATAACCAATTTGAGTTTCTAAGGTATGTTGTTGCTTCAGAAGCAGGAGAAAGAAATCCCATTTCCCTGCTCATGTTTTCTTGTTCATTTACAAATTACAAATTACAAATGGCAGCCTAGCTAGTTGTGTAATGTGTTTTAATTTCTTGGTAAAAATGATGAGAAATGGGTGTTTTTTTTGGCATCAAGAATGGGAATCTGAATAAGACTTTTTGGAAAGTAGTATAAGGTGAGGAATCTAGAAATTATGACCACCAAACTTTCCAAAACCCAAGGAAAAATAAGGGGAAAAAGTAGATCTTGCTAGTGAAATATTAAGCATTTGAGGTCTTAGGTGTCCTATAATCTACACTAGAAAGTATAGGAGAAGCTACTAATAGAAAAAAGAAGAAAATAGAGTTACTATTATATAGTAGTAGAAAAACTAGGGCATACAAATGAAGGGGCAAACTTAGAGAAAACAGAAAAATTAACTATTTTCCTCTCTTGTAGAAGAGTTTTAGAAATGTTTGTGATCAAGTAAATAGCTCTACGAAAGAATGAAAATGAAAAGATTTATACAAGTTATATGTTGCGTTACCATTTTATAGAAAATCGTTACATATGAATATATTATATGTATGTGATTCGTTACCGATGCTAAAAAAAATCATATTATGATAAACAAGACATTGAAGAATTGTTCATAGATAAAAGGATTCTTTGCTTTTTCATAATAAATTGGAAAGTGTATAATAGGAATCAAAAAGTATATAGTGAACGACCTTAAAAGAAATGCATGTGCATTTGCTAGCATTTTTTTCTTCTATTTTTATCTTAGTTAAATATATATATATATATATATATATATATATATATATATATATATATGTATATGTTGGTATTTCATTAGGCATGACAGTTGAGAAATAAAGAACAAAATATTTGCCAACTCACCTTAAGTATTCTTAGAATGGTGTTACTATTTCTTCTTAGACAATTTTTAAAAAAATAAATATTATTCGTAACACACTATCTAAAGAATCATATTTTTTATATTATTTATAAATAGTTTAATTTTTTAATTTTTTTTTTCTTATGTCAATCAAACACGACCATTTAAACTGAAATAAAAAAGTTTTTTTTTTTTAAAAAAAGTATTATAGAGAGAGTAAAAAATATAGTGTTGAGATGTCATTGGTTTATGTGGGAGGTTTATTTTGGGTGTATAGAGATAGAGATCCTCAGACCTCAGTCTTAAGACAAAAAGGACAACCTGTCATTGCCCATAGAGCTGCCTGTTGGGACACAAAAAAAATAATTCAGGACTCCATAGGCATTGATACTGTTATTCTTTCTTTTCTTTTCTTTTTAGGTGAATTGTTTTGGTTATTAATACAGATGTTAAATAGACGAATTGAATTGAATTTGAGTAGGTTAAAATAAACAGAGTTAATAGAGTATGTATATGGTTTTATTAAAGTGTAGTATTATTTTAGTGGGTATAAATAATAAGACAGTTATTTTTTTTCATGTTACATGTAATCACTAATGTCATAATCTACTAATAATTATCCTCTCAAAGAATTCTTACCATTTATAAATAATGTCGGAGTCAGAAATTTTATTAAGAATGTCCAAAAATAAATAGTGTCACACATACGCACGCACGAACGGGCGCACACACAAAAAAAATTAAAAGAGAATACTATTTTGTTGAAAAAGTGTTTTTACTAATGGAGCTTTGGATTTAACAATTAGTTCGGAGTTACTTGAGTCATAGATGTTATCGAATTATTGTATATATCTTAAATGGGACAAATCAAAAGTATTAATATTGGATCGATGTAGTAAAGTTTTATTACAATTGACTTGAATCTCCTTAAAAGAAAAATATTACTACTTCAACTTGGAAGATTATATTTTCACCAACATGAGTTAATAGATGGACTAAAAATTTATAAATAAGTGATTCAATAACCATATAACTCAATTTGTCCAACTCTTATTAAATCTTAATACATATTTTTATAATTTCCTTATGTATTTAATCAAAACAATATTTTTGTTTGATAATGAAAAGGAATAAGGGTCTGAAAAATACCCCAACTTTGGTCGGATTTGTTGTTGCGATACTAAACTTTCATAAGGACCTATTACCTCCCTAGACTATTTAATACCATATTTTTTATTCCCTGAACTATTTAATAGTCTATTTTAAATGTATATATGTGTCCACGTGGACACATTACTATTTATAATTTTGCATTATTTTTTATGTCCATGTGGGCAAATATATATGTTTAAAATATGGTATTAAATAGTCTAGGGAGGTAATAGGTCCTCATGAAAGTTTAGTATCGCAACAGCAAATCCGACCAAAGTTGGGATATTTTTCAGACCCTTATCCCTCAAACATATATCTTATCACAACAAAGTTTTTTATGGATCAATTTAAATGGCATGTCATTTCAATTTTTAAATGTACTAGATTGAACAGATTAAATGATTTACACTAATAACCTCAAAAATAGTCTATTAACAAAAAGGCGAAATGGTCTGATGGACCCTTATACTTGTATGAGTTTGTATTCTGGGCCCTTTTACTTAACTATTTGTCAACTGAACCCCTAAACCATTGAAATTTGGTATTTTGAACCCCTTTTTTGACCTGTCATCCTATGTGGCATTTTTATCTAAAGTGCGTGTGATACACATATTTTACGCGCGTGAGGCCTTCGAAAAAGACAAGAAATGACAATTTTTGACCTAATCAAGAGTCATCTTCTTCTCCATTTATGCATTCACCATTGTTGAACAAAAAGAAGCTTTTTTTTTTGCTTTTCTACTCTTCAAATCTTTCTTTCATTTTTTTCCCCTCATTTCGTTTTGGTTGTTGTGTGTTGTCTTCCATCTTCTTCAAAGAGCTCATCATTTCTTATGCAAATTTATTCTTTATCACTTTACGAAAGGGTCTTCACAAATACAAATTCCTCCTATTGTTCCACAAAAAAATGAATGAACTTATCGATCTTACTCTTCAACAAGTAATAGCGTATCCTCCAACCTACTCAACATCGCCAGAGCCGAACAATATCAATCATTCCAATTTTTGTAAATCTTCACATGACAAGAACATATCCCTCATCTCAAGAACATTGTTTTCATCTTTGAGTGGTAGCTCCACCACCACACTGCGGAGGCGACAAATGTCTTATTGATGCTGCATTTTACTTGTGAGAGCATTGGAATGAGAGAAGAGAAAGGAGAGAAATTGGGGAAAAAATTGGAAGAAAGAGAAAATGATTTCTCAAATAAAATTTAGGGAGTTTAATTTAATTTTTCCACTTTATTTTCTATGTGGCAATTAAAAATGACGTGAAATTTGAGGTGTAGTGGTTATATTACACGTACCATTGACCTTATGAAAAAGGGGTTCAAAATACCAAATTTCAATGGATTTAGGGGTTTAGTTGACAAAGGATTAAGTAAAAGGCCCAGAATGCAAACTCATACAAATATAAGAGTCCATCAGACCATTTTACCTAACAAAAATTCAAATTTAACATGTTTTGCCGTGTTGACAACACTTTTGACCTTAAAAAAAGTATCCAAAAGCTCTTTAGAAATTTGTTTAAATTATTAATTAAAAAAGATATATTGAAAAAGTAATTTACTACCTTCTTGGCTTCTTTAATCAACTTTTGAATTTGATGAATTATTGATTCTTGTCTACATGTCAATGGATTGTGACTGCGTTAGGAGATCCGTTGTTTCTTAGTGATTGGCCATAATTATTGGGTCTCTCTCTCACACACACAACACTTTCCTATGAAGAAGATATATACTCCTCCGTCTCAAATAAGTGTCATTTTCATGATACGTTAATCAAATTTTTTATTAATATGATATGTAATTTACTAAGCTATTCTTGTATTATAAATGTCTCTTGAAAAATGAACACTATTAATAAGATGAAGTATAAAAATATAGTTGAAACAATATACTAATTTTTATCTTAAATTTCTAAAGTAAAATTTATTGTGGGACGATTTTTTTTTTACTAAAGTAATAATTATTTTGAAATGGAGAAATTTTTTACTTAATTTGTTTCAAATAGATATTTTTTCAACTAAAATATTTCTTATAGAAGTTGACATTTTACCTTGATAAAAAGACTAATTAATATTCTATTCTGTTCTGAAGTCATTTGGTAGAGTGTATCAAAAAAGTACTCTAATTTTATTCCATTCGAAAGTCATTTGGTAGAGTGTATCAGAAAAGTATTTAATAGAGTGTGTTGGTTATATTGAAATTGGTAATGTTCAGATTAATCACGTTGAGATTATGTTTTATTCAATGTTTAATTTGGTGTATAAATTATTTTATTTTTAACCATACTTATTTATATTTTAATAATTTATATTACTAATATCATGATTTGTTATGTATTAATTATGTACTTTATATTTAAAAAATAAAATCATAACTAGTACATTCACTACATCAAAAATGATCATTGGCGGTAATTAATTAACGATAATAGCTTATTAATTGCCGTTAAATATGTATCTTTAGCAGCAATTAGCACTCTTGGTATATGTCTCTAATTCCTTTAGCGACATTGGTTCTAATGTCACTTAACTAATGCCGGTAAAGACTTTAACACTCTTTATTAATGTCTACATTTATTGCCGCTAAAAGTTGTTTTTGTTGTAGTGATCGTTCAAACGACCATTTAGTGTCAAGAAGGTCCCATTACAAAGTACTCTTTTGATTATCTTCCAATTAGAAGCGAATCCACATGAGGGTTAATTTAGTAGTACATGTAAAATATTTTCTGTCATGATTATGTTATCATGAGATGATTGTCTTGAATTATTTGAAACCATATATTCTTTTTCGAAATGATTGTATGGAGTATGGACTATCCCACATTTTAACAGTGTATGATATAAATAGCTTAACTATTTTAATATGAGTTTCACCGATTGATATACAACTTAAATCAGTGACTTATATTAATTATCCAAAAATAATTTCAGGATTATTTCAAGAATTCTATTTGAAACGCAAAAAGTGTATGTTAAATTTAAAGCTAATGATGATA